AGGGAGAATTACGCCCAGGAGCACATGGATAAAAATAGACCGGAGGGAGAAAAAAAAACCATTAATCGATTCTCTTGCAGACGTATCGATGCATCGGATCGTCGGCTGTTGGATCGATGCATCGATACAAAACGAATAATTATTTACACCCCTAGTAAATGGCGCGCACAAATGGATCGGACCGCACTAACAGAGTACTAGTTCAACAGTAGGGCCCGACGTGGTTCAGTTCTAGCTCAGTTCACAGATAACAAAGAGGGCATTAGCAGACCGCGTCATCTCCTTACAGTTAGCCTCCGTAATCATGAAATTTCAGATACTTCCCTAGCTTGGCACACGATTTCCAGTGATGATTCTGCTTAGCAGTGTGATGAAACTCAACGTCTGTCATTGTTACCTGCGTCTGTAAGCCCTGATTAGACTATTGTTTGTCGTATCCACTTCTCAAAAGCTGACTCTGTCAAGTAAATCCACCAAAGGCTGCCTTTTTCAGTTTTTACGGCACTAGTAGCTCGTTTTTATGGACAGTATGCTGACAGGAAAGGGGGTATGAGAGAGGGGGAGAGACATGCGGGACAGGACCACGTTGCGGATTAAGGCCTCTGTAGATGGGTTGTGTGTGCCAACCACTGCGCCACCAAAGCACGCCCAAACTTCCTGAATGTTATTACGCCACCATGTTGATATGCTTGTTTACCTCTAGAGAGCAGTAGTACAGTAGATTGTCACCATGCCAGCATGGTGCGTAAATGGTCGTAAGATCCAAGCTCAGCACGGTTAACTAATCCAGGCTCGGCATGGATCGGTTTCCAAAGGGTACTGTAAATGGGCCTAAAGAGCGTTTCTTCCAAAAGTTGCCAGATCTTTTTCAAATTTGATTATGTTTCCAGTGTATTTTATGTATCTGAAAAAGCTAAGAAGTGCATAAATAATAGAAAAAAGAAATCTGACAAGTGTGGGCTTGCCTTTGCTTTTAGCACATTAGACCCTGACATTGTCCAACCATCTTTTTCCACACGTCTTTGCACTCCTTTGCTGAAATTTTGTTTCTTTCTTTAATAAAAGGCCAGCTTCACACTCCCTATGTTCAGTGTCTGCCTCCATCATGCTTTGCTCGATGTGCAGCGCAGCAATCTGCTTTTGTATGGATGTAGGATTAGCTGACACATCCAAATTTTCATCCTCTTTTGTTTTGAAATGTACCAGAATCACTCTGCTCTTTATGTGATAAATAAAAAACTGGGTCTACATTAAAACCCTTTATAACCCATTTACCAACCAGCCTGGTGTCAGAATATCTTGATGATCATAAATTCAGTTCACAATCTTCATTTATCTTCGTATTTCTGCACCATGTTTTAATGGTCGGTCACATAAAATCTAACGAATTACAGTTCTCTAAGGTTTTAAAGAGTGAATCTACAGTAACGGTGAACTATTCAGATGTGTGAACCCACCCTTCCTCGGTTTTTACTGTGGAATGTGTACATGGTGGAAATGTGATATAAAATGCTTGTTCTGAGCCTGATACTCACCTGAAACCCAGGTGCCTCAAAAAGTTTTTTGATACGTTGATGGATTGCTTTTCTCTCAGACTCTTTGAAGGAAAGCGAGTTCAGGGCTTCCTCCGAGAACTCCCGCTGCAACGTGAGGGAAACCTGCTCCCCTGGGTCTACCATTCCCTTTGAAAACAAGCAGACAAAAAAGTACTTTAAAGCATTAGAGAGGAGAGTCTCATGTATCAATGTCCAACTTTAACATGTGCAAAAATATCTGGGGAAATGGTTGATGATAAAGATGCACTCTTCATAACTGGATAACATAAACCACTATAAAAAAACACATATTTTATGAAATAAAACACAGCAATCAAAGCTGCTACCTACCCCTGGAATGGCCCACTCTCCACAGTCTTTCCTCTTGATGGACACAAACTGTAGGATTGGCTTTTTGGAGGCTGAGTGAAGAACCTTAGCTCCACTGGCATCCAGCTTCCATCTGCCACATGGAGAGTAAAAAGGAAACAATAATCTACAGTTAGCCTGAACTCATCATGGACATACATGTAATCATTTGGCTTTGGAGCTCTTAAATTTGCACACTTAAATTACATTTATGTTGCAGGGAAATCAGCAATAGTCTGGCACTCTACCTGGATATTGAAGTAAACCTTGAAGTTTAACGTCAGCCTCCCTTAAATGTATTTAATGGAAATTTATTTCCATAAAAAATATATTTCATTACAATATCAAAAGATTTGGTTACAAATCCGAAAGTTTTGACCACAATTTATTTATTTTTTATTGAGAACAAGCTTTGTTTGATTGAATAATAAAGAGAAACTAATCTCCATCCATATTCAGTGCAGTTTTGATGAGTTTTTCAGTTTAACCACCAGATGAAGATTTAACTATCTTTCTACAACACACTAGTACCACTGAGACCAAATCTAACCTCTCAGCAAAATTCTGCCACCACCATGCTTGGAAGTTTCATTCAATGTTTAAAGGTTTGAAAACCTCCTGCTTCTACCTTTAAATTTTTCTCCTAAACTGGTTTGTCTCGTCCATTTTGGTACAGATGGTCGTTTCCTGGTATCTGGATACTATTGGTTCAAGTTTGCAGTCAAACTTTCTGTCGATTTATTATCAATTTTTTTTTTATTATTATTATCTTATCATTTTAATAGTTATTTTTTATCTCTTTAAGTATTCATGTTCATCAATGATTTAGAATACCTTTATGCCACCGGAATGCAGGTGTTTGTGTCTGCGTGTTTTCCTATGTTTTTTTTGTTGTTTTTTTCCCATGTACAACACTTTGAATAATCTAGCTAGTGAAATGTGCTGTATAAAAAACACTTGATTTGTTTATCTTAAAATTAAGTTAATGTAACTCAAGCCATCTTCATGCAACGCTCGGATCTAAAAAACTAGAGAACTGTACCCAAATGAGAAAGCGACATCAGCCCGGGCTGGAGCAGGGCTGAATGAATCAGGACTTAATTAGAAGATCAAGGAGGCTGCTCCCCTCTGGTCTAATTATGGCAACGATAAAACTGCATGGATCTGTAAAATGCCATGTTAAGAGGCACTCAAAATGGAAAAGAAGAGGCTACGGTTAGCATCCGTCACATTTTAGGTATGCTCATATGCACTGCTTTGTTATTTGAACGCTACACCAAAAAAATAGATACAATTTTCATAGAAAATATGAATAGATAGAATTTTGCAACCAAAACTTTTATTTTTTTGCAAATGAAAGGACACTAGTTTAAATTCTAGATAATGAGATCTGACTTATTTAAACAAACAAACATGAGTTTTTTTTTGTACCTGAATATAACTTACCTTGTGACGATAGGATCAGCAGCATGATTGGGCCCCCACAGTCCAAGAAGACCTCTTCCAGTCAAACCAGTCCGTCCACAAGGATTTCTAGGAAGAGTAAGAAGACATTAGTTCTGCAAAAATAACAGCTAGTCAGTAATGAGCAAAAAGCAGGTTGGTAGTCATCCACACAGGAACAAGCACCCCCAGATAGCTAGAGTCCAAATGCTTTCTGTGCATTCATATTAAAGATTTATTAGGTCTGGCTCATATTTTATTCTTCAGCTTTGCACTGCAAAAAACTGCTGCATCATATGAGGTCATTAACCAGATTCAAGAGGTGTGCAGTAAATTCCTATTCAACTTACAGTGGTTTTCCATTTTCCACTTTGTAGCTTCCTTCAAAGCTTGTCCTGTCCACAGCACCATCCACAGCATTGAACTTTGGAGAGAAGGATCTGCAAGATGAGCAAACGATCCAAAGGCATTAGCTCATGGCTGGGAAGCATTTTAAAATAATTTGGTGGGCATTTCTGTTCAGTTTCCTGAACTCTGATGATCTAACAAAACTCTTGTAAAACTAACAGCACTAACAACTAGGGATGCACGATATTGGGATTTTGGCCGATATCCGATATGATGATATTTTAAAACTCATGTAGCCGATAACCGATATCGATACTGATGTTAAAGCTGGACAAAAATAAGTAGTCATTGAAAATAGCAGTTTTGTTATCCATTTCTGACACTTTGAAAAA